TCGTCCCTGAGCCGCTGCCGGGGGAGGACTGAGGAACTTCAGTCCGGGGATGGCTGAGAAGGGGACTGTCTGGCCTCTTTAGGGCACTGCACGGATCCTGTGGCTGCCCCGAGGGATGCCCTTGGGGGAAGCAGCCCGCTCCGGGGGGTCCACATCCGCAGCTACATACACTGCGGTGTCAGTTTGTCCCCTTGTCTGCCACGTCCCCTACACTGCGAGGGCAAGACTGTGTCTCATGTAGCACTGTGTCCCCACTATGGCACCGATAGAGGCCTCCTGTGAGTGAAGCTGTGACTGCATGGCTAAGCAAGGCCCCCAGGAGGATTCTTGGTGGACTGGCTCTAGGGGACAGACTGCAGGCCAGACACAGGCCCCACAATGTAGGTCCCTGCAAGTGCTGGTTGCCCTAAAGCTGGGAAGGGCTGAGGCTGCTTTGGGAAGCCCCCCTCTCCCTCGCACGGATCATATGGTGACAGAGGCAGGGTGGAGTGGGAGAGGGACAGGCATCGTCCCCACCAACAATGGCGACTAGCTTCTTGCTTCTTGGTGGGAAACAATAAAAGAGGTGGCACTCCACGTGGAATAAGGCAGGAGATAGAGGGGTGGACTCCCCTGGGCCCTGCTGGCCCAGCGCCCTGCTGCCTGCCTTGCCTGTCACACCAGCCCTGTGAGGGAGCTGCCCTCCCAGGGGACCACTGGCAGCCCTCCAGCCCGTGGCCAGCTCCTCTCTGCCCTCCCTTGTACAGACAGATGACACTGGCAGCTGCAGTGCCTGATATCAGGAAGTCACCCGGTGGCTGGAGGGAGTGGGGCCAGGGCCCCAGCCCTCTGTCTGGACGGCTCCGTGGCAGAAGCGTGGGGGACACTGGTGTAGGACCGGGAAGGACAGGTGGTCAGGGGTCTGTACACGGGGAGATGGCGCATATTTGCCTGGCACTTTTCTGGGAAATGTAACTTTGATCCGGGAGAAACAAGGAGGCCAGAGCCCAGTCCAAGGTGAAAACGCTGTCTTCTGCTGAGCGCCAGACCCACACACCCTGCGGCTGTCAGTGCCCTCGGGGACTTCAGCTACGGCCTAGGAAGAGAGTCTACCAAAAGCAGAGTTGGGGACCCCACAGTTCCTGCCCCCAGCCTGGAACTTGAGTTGGGGGCATCCTGGATGCCTCCGGATGGGAATCAGGGCATCACCAGGCAGCCCTGGGGGAACATGGCAAGACTGGCATCGAGCCATCTGAATCGGCGTCCCCCCAGTCTTGCTTTGGGAAAGGAACGAATGCTCCTGAATTCATGGCAGTGGCATCACAGGTGTGGATGCTGTCACTGCCATTCAGCCCTGCCCTCTCTGGCTCTGTGCCCTCCTGGGCAGGTGGCTGGAAAGTGAACTCCGCAAGCAAAGGCAGTCCTGTACCTTCCAAGCTCCAGCTGAGCAGTTGTCCCCAGGTCCATCTGCGGCTGCCTGGGGCCAGGATGACTCTGCAGAGAGGGACATGCCCTCACCTCAGGTGAGGAGTCATAGGAGGGAAAAGGATGGCCTGGGGCAGGGGCAGTTTGAACTAACTGGGCATTGGGGGTTGGTTGTTAGTTGCGGCCTTTGCCTTCGGCAGTTTTTGCTTTTAAGGGATTTCTGGATAGACAATTCTTTTCCTCTCCCCTTTTGGCGATGGAGGTGGTGACAAGTTCTCTGCTCTGTTTAATGAGTTAAGACTTGTAGAGAAAGTACTATCAGAGGCCCAAGGGCCGGAAGAAGATGCTGGGTTCTGCTCATCTGAACCTATCAAAGGCATTCCACTTGGATCCTGACTCCCGTGAGGGACACAGAGTGACATCATGTGGCCACAGGGCCTGGAAGAGGTGGGGACGAGAAGCTGTTTCTTACCTCTGAGCCTGATCACTAGGTCCCTCAATGTGTCACAGGTCACTAGAGGTTTTTGGAAGGCATCCCTTCCATTCCCCTGCTTCTATGTGGGACCCCCAAACCACCCCTGTGGGCTTCCCCTAGCCCTAAAGTTTTTCCCAAGGAGAAAAAGTGACTATTGCTACTTAGGTCTCTCGTCCAGAGGCCTGTGAACCTTCACTCTGTGGAAGTTCTTTGTTATATCTAACCTAAGCCCCTCCTGCTATACGGGACGAAAGGTCAGGTAAGGCCTTGAGACAGAAACACAGGCAAATAAATAAATAAATAGCCTCTGGAAGTCACCAGGATGTACCACCAGTTCTAGAAGCAAGAAGAAGTTGTCCCAGTCCCCCTTTCAGATAAGCACGAAGGAAACAGCTCTGCTATGTGCGGAGCTCTCAGCTCAACAGAACTCCCAGCCCTGGGAGGACTCTGGGCTCCTTCTCCTTTTAAGGCAACGTCTGAGCTCTCAGGGCTCCGCGAGCTACAACAAGCCCCAGCCCCACTCATTCCTGGCTATTTGGAGGAAACTGATGATTAATCAGCCCTTTCCCTCCCTCCCCCAGCCTGTTTTTCATTAGGTTCTTTTCAAAGGGTTGGCACACCCCCTCAGGAACAGACGGGGCAGATCCTCACCAACTGGGCCCCCAGCGTAGGGGAGTCCCCAGGAGGGAGTGGGGAGCAGTCCTGGATGAGGACGAAGGGGAGAGGTCAGGATGTGGGGTGTCAGGGAAGGGAGAGGGTGAACATGTTGGAAACCGGGTCCTGGCTGGAAGGTTCTGAATGGGAGCCCTGGGTCTGCAGGGGGCTGGGCGAGAGGCGGAGGCTGGTGGGGGAGGTTCTGTGGACAGCAGGACGCTCAGACACATGGGGCACCGGGCAGGCAGCGAGGGGCTGCTTTGGCCCCTGCTGGGGAAGGTCAGACACAATGACATTGACTTGGTGGCAGCTGGTGAGACATCAGGTCTGAAACCCAGGTTTTCCTGAACTTGCCCGTGAAGTTGGCTAAGCTGTCGTCTCTCTGGTCCCCTGTCTCCCTGTATGGGAAGCTGGGAGCAGCACGGGAACTCTGCAGGGGGCAGCTGGCAGTGCCCAGTGGGCTTGACAAACCTCCAAGTGCGCACGTTTTGGGAAGGGAAGGAAGAGGGGAGGCAGGAGTCTGCCCCGGGGCCTGACCTCTAGACCTCAGGCTTGGGGAGGCTGCTCCATCCAGCTTTCACCTGCGAGCTCCCAAAGTGGACGGCATCTGTGATGACACCACTCTTAATCTGGCGGCATTTGGGAGGGGGAAGGCATTTGGGAGGGGGAAGGGAATTCCCGTGGACTGCGGGCAGATCATTGTAAGAGCTTCCTAAAAGGGCCGGCCCACCCGGTTTGCTGGTTTACACTCTGTTTGCGTGCTCCTTCCTTCCTCTCCCTTTCAAACCAAGGTCCAGTAAAGTGACCATCGCTTCTGCTCCAGGGCCATCTGGAGGGTCAAAGCCAGCTCCGTGGGAGCCGGCGTGAGTGTGAGGGCAGCGCTCTGCCCCGCTCCCTCTCCACAGCCCCGGCCTTGGGGCAGGAGGCTAGGACAGACACGTTCCAAGGCCCTGTCTCACCAGGCCCGGTGCCCCTCGGCTGCCTCTTGTGATTCCAGCAGAGGAGCCAAAGACTTTGCTGCCAAATAAACGCAGGGGCTGGTCCCCAGTCGGGTGTGTTTGCAGCGCAGGTACAAGCCGTTTCCATAGGACCAGCTTCCCTCCCCTTCCCTCTGGAGGGCTCTGTGCTCAGAGAGCCTGGGGGGTGCTGCTTTGCCTTTCTTCCTTCCCCTCCTCACGCCCCTCCACTGGGCACTCTTGAAAGACAGAAAACCCTTCCAGTATTCAGACCATAGTCTCCTCCTCTTAAAAAACCGTTAGGGAAGGACATCACAGGGTCCCTTTCAGTCCCAGTTGCTCTGGGGGCTCCGTCACGGTGGGGCTGTTAAATCTGGTGTCTAATGGCAGGCGGTGCTGCTGCTTCCTTTGCTCTCTGCTGGGGAGAAGCAGGGACTCCAAAGCAGGGCTCAGACCTCGTGCGTGCGGCTTCGTAGGGGAAGGGACAGGGCCCCGTGGAGGTGCAGGGTGGCCTGTGCTGTGTGTGAAACGCGAGCCCCTACGGCAGCTCAGCCGGCGGCCCAGTCCCATGGCCTCCCTCTCCAACTTCTCAGTGTCTGGGTGGTCACAATGGAGTCACCAAATCTGAGATCCCGAATCCGCCCAGCTGACGCAGCAGACTCCCGTGCCCCTCGCAGAGAGGTACTTGTCCTTAGCTAAGTTTTTACTATAAAATAAGGACAACACTGTGAGTATTTTTAAAAAGACACACATATTTGATGTTAAGGTGTATCCTCTATTTCGTCTACCTTACTTTATAATTAGTTCCTTCTTAATTCAATGAGATAATGATAGTTGATAGAATTTATAAATATCCTTAATTGGTAAAATAAAAGGTCAGCAACCCTATGTTGATCTCCCCAACTTTTTTTTTCTTTGCAAATGTACTGGCTTGCAAAATTCCCGTATCCGAGGACTACTGGCCTACCTTGGGAGCAGGGCTGGGACCAGGGCCGTGAGGCGCTTGCCTCAGGCACAGGATGCAGGGGGTGGGCGCCAAAACACTCAGTGAGCGACGTAACTGATATTTGAATGTATAGTTTTAAAAATAGTAATGCAAAAAAATCCACGATGAACAGAAATGCAAAATTTTAAATAAAGACAAGATCAGTGTTAGGGATTTTTCCTTTGGCCTCAGGTTCCAAGGTGGCGCGGCAGGGCACTGTTGGAAGCAGTCCTTCCAAAAAGGGCAATTCTGGGCCTGAGAAGGCTCTGGGAAAGGCGCGGCCGCGGCCTCGCAGGTGTTCGCGTCGGCGGCTCGCGACCCTAGGCCTTGCGTCAGCCCCTGCTCTGCGCCTCGAACCCAAGTCCCTGTTCTGCTGTCCTCCATGGAGACACCAGCCACCTCCCAAACGCCAACTGTCCTCCACAGGCCCAAGGGCGGTTATGTAAGCGCCCCCCACTCGGCCCCGTACTCATTCCTCCCTCTGTAGCCAGCGCTTCATGTTTGTTTTTCTTTTCTGAATTCTTAGGAAAGCAAGCAAGCAGAGCCCAAGACGGATGCCAAGAATGGGGAGGAAAGGGGCAAGGATGCCAGCAAAAAGTCCCTGGGCCCCAGACGGGACTCGGACCTGGGGAAGGAGCCAAAGAGGGGCGGTTTAAAGAAAAGCTTCTCCAGAGACAGGGACGAGGCTGAGGGCAGAAGCGGCGAGAAGCCCAAGGAGGAGAAGCCCATCAGGGGCATCGACAAGGGCCGGGTCCGGGCTGCCGTGGACAAGAAGGAGGCGGGGAAGGACGGGAGGGGGGACGAGAGGACGGCGGCCGCCAGGAAGGAGGAGGAGAAGAAAGCGAGTGACAGGAACACGGGTTTGAGCAAAGACAAGGATAAAAAGAGAGAGGAGATGAAGGACGTGGCCAAGAAAGAGGATGGTGCGAAGGTCAAAGGGGAGAGTAGGAACACAGACGTCAGAAACGAGGACGAGAAGATGAAAAGAGCAGCTGGGAGCTCGGACACGAAAAGGCAGGACGACAAGGTGAAGAGAGGAACTGGGAGCGCAGACACGAGAAAGGAGGATGAGAAAGTCAAGAAGGACGAGTCCCGCAATGAAAAGGAAGCCGAGGAAGAGAGCAAGACCAAAACAGCAGAGAAACAGGCCCCCGGCGGCCCCCCCAAGCCCTCTGAAGCACCTGCCAAGGCGGAGGAGGAAGCGGCTCCCAGCATATTCGATGAGCCTCTGGAGAGGGTGAAGAACAACGACCCAGAGATGACGGAGGTGAACGTCAACAACTCGGACTGCATCACAAACGAGATCTTGGTCCGGTTCACCGAGGCCCTGGAGTTCAACACTGTGGTCAAGGTGTTTGCCTTGGCCAACACGCGAGCGGACGACCACGTGGCCTTCGCCATCGCCATCATGCTCAAGGCCAACAAGACCATCACCAGCCTCAACCTGGACTCCAACCACATCACAGGCAAAGGCATCCTGGCCATCTTCCGGGCCCTCCTCCAGAACAGCACGCTGACCGAGCTGCGCTTCCACAACCAGCGACACATCTGCGGCGGCAAGACGGAGATGGAGATCGCCAAGCTGCTCAAGGAGAACACCACCCTGCTCAAGCTGGGCTACCACTTTGAGCTGGCCGGGCCCCGCATGACGGTCACCAACCTGCTCAGCCGCAACATGGACAAGCAGCGACAAAAGCGGCTGCAGGAGCAAAGGCAGGCACAGGAAGCCAGCGGAGAAAAGAAGGATCGGCTGGAGGTGCCCAAGGTTGGGGCCCTGGCCAAGGGCTCCCCCAAACCTTCACCCCAACCATCTCCAAAGCCCTCTCCGAAGAACTCACCCAAGAAAGGGGGTGCTCCAGCCGCCCCACCCCCACCACCGCCTCCCTTGGCTCCACCCCTTATCATGGAGAACCTGAAGAACTCACTGTCACCAGCTACCCAGAGGAAGATGGGAGACAAAGTCCTCCCTGCCCAGGAGAAGAATTCTCGTGACCAGCTACTGGCCGCCATCCGCTCCAGCAACCTCAAGCAGCTCAAGAAGTTAAGTAGTCGTGGGCAGGAGCCGACAGGGCCGGGGCTGGGCAGGGGCTGGGAGGGGAGGGCAGGACTGCAAAGGGAAAGCACACAGAGGTGCTCACATCGGCTGCAGGCGATAGAGACGCCCAGGGGCCCCAGGGGACTTCAGGTCACCTCATCCAGCCTCCTGCCTCCAGGCAGGCCACACCCGTACCTCCCTCGAGGTGAGACTCCAGCCTTCCTTTAGGGGCTTCCTGTGGCCTCTCACTCCACACTTCTGACCCCTCCATCCTGCAGTCGCACCTGTTCCTCCTAGAAATGGAGAAACAGCCTCTACAAGTGATCTGTTTTACTCGAGCCCACTCAGGACCAGCCGAATCCTACAGATCAGTCTATCCGGAAGGCCTTTGGGGGATTGACCCCTCGGGAGAGCCCACCTTTGACTACCCAGTGCCATGGACACATGAGCTCTCCCTGACACCTACTTCTCAGAGCCCTGCCTCCCTGAAGTCCCGCCTGGGTGGCAGAGTCCATGATCGTTTGCCCATCTGACTGGGTACTCTACCCCCACGACACCATTTGGGATTGGACACCAGATAAAGGACGATCTCACTTGTGGTTCCAGTGGTCATTTGATGACATCCAATTTTTACAGAAAAGGAAAAATGCTCCCTCAATGCCAACACCTCATTTATTCATTCCACAGACACGACATATTGCATAGTGAGGTGTCTGGTGTGGTGTCCTTCCAGAAGGGAGGGAGGTGGGGTGAATTCCAGAGGCTCCTTGCCGAGCTGTCCTAACCCGTCTCTGCTTTGCCCCCACAGGTGGAAGTGCCCAAACTGCTCCAGTAGGACCCGGCTGCCAGGCCCTGTCTGCCAATGCCGTGACTGCCCAGGCCTCGCCTCCCAGGGCCACGCAGACCCTGCCCACCCCACCCCTGGCCGACCTGCTGTGGCTATCTCTGTTCTGCCGTGGAAGAGCTTGAGGCCTGGGCCACGCTCAAGGAAGGATGCCTTATCTCTTCTCACTTTCCTTTTCTTGTCTCTGAGGCTCTCCAAAAATGTCTTTTATACCTGGAGCTGAGGTTTCCGGACAAGAAGAGTCCTTTTAGCACGTCACTGAGAAGATGGCCCTGCCCCGGGCCCACGTAGCGGGCAAGCTGCACAAGGCCTCTGATGCAGGAAGGATGTCCCACAGGGACCATGCGTCCACCCCAGCCCCACTGCCCCCCAGGGCCAGGATCCAGGCCTCTGAGGAGCCCACGGGGCAAGCTGCTGGGCCAGTGGCACTCTGTGCGCGGCAGTGGCAGAGGAGGAAGCGGGCACGGGGCCCTAGGGGGGAGCAGGGAGGGGCTGAGGACACTCGAGCCCCTCCCTCTGATTGGCCCGGGCAGGTCAGACCTGGTGGGGGCAGCTGGCCTGGATGGACAGTGCGTGGGGGGAGTAGGCTCCAGATGGGAGGAGAGGGACAGACAGCAGCTGGACCTGAAGGTTTGATGCCAAAGCAGACATTTTCCTCACACCCGCCTGCTGTCGTATAAATAGCTGTGTATCTGTTTTTCCATAAGATTTTGATAATATATACAAACCTTCAGCTGTGAGTGGCTGCGCCCCACCTCTGTACCGCACCGGGGGTCCCGCTCCTCACCGTGCGCTCCCAGGAGCACGCGGGGCGCTCAGGCTCCCTGCCGTGCCATCCCAGTTGCCCGGGAAGTAAGCGCGTGTCCGCGGGAAGCACAGCGTGGCGGAGCCCGAACTCTGAGCGGAAGACTCCCACCAACCGGGTTGTCCGGGCCCAGGCGGCCGGGCCGTCACCGGGTCTGCTCCCCACCAGTCTTGCTGCCTGGAGCGGGGTGATGGGGAACAGGGCCTGGGATGGCTATATTAGGCATGTTCAGGGGATGCTCATCCCATGACTCGTCCTAGCTGTGGGCTCGGGGCCAGCTCCTCACAGTGGTCACAGGCCCAGGAAGGCAGCGGGCAGAGAAGCGGAGTGACTGCTTGGGGAGCAGCACCCACGCCAGTGTGCCTGGGGCCCAGAGGTGCCTAACCATCGCCAAGCCTCCCGCGTCGCCAATTTCACTTCCTGCCCTTGCTGCAGGCTGCCCTCCTGACCCGGCAGGGCTGCCGTGCCCCCCGTAGGTGTCCATCCAGGACATCTTTCTTCTACTGGCTTGAAGGTGCTGGCACCCCTTGGCACAGTGGAACTGCTGCCCTGGGTCTGGGTCACTTGTGGGTTTTTCTGCCTCCAGGTTTTGCCTCAGCAGCGGGAGTATGGCAGTTTCACCGTCTCCGGGGTGGGGTGAGGTGCCCCTGCCAGGAAGCAGGATCGCTGCTCCAGGTCTGGCCGAAACCAGAGGGCAGAGCACTCAGATCCCGGGTACACTGCTCCCCCGTTCCCTCCACCCACTGCCTGTCACCCCGGAAACCTAAGCAATGGCTGGGCCCAGGAGAGAGGAGACAGACTCTTGCTGGCTCCTGGACCTCAAAGGGTGTTAGCTGGAGCTCAGCCCAGCTGGAGCTTCCGCCCACCCTGCGCCTGCCGGGCGCTGGGCACTAGCTAGTGCTCGAGGTTGCTTCAGCTGCTCCTTCAGCCCTGGCCGGTGGACGCCAGTGTTCTCTCCATTCTGCAGGTAGAGTTTGGCCCAGAGAGGTTAACACATCCATGATCGCACAGCTGATTAAAGGCAGAGCTAGGGTCTTTAGCCCATAGAACTGCTTCCGATGACAGCTCCCCCTCCTCCCCTTGCTGAAATGACACCAGTGATGGTCCCCAGGGAGGCTCTAGAAGCCTAACCTGAGGGAAGCGGATCTTAAGACAGAACCTGTCACCTTAGGAAGCCCTTTCTGCCAAACTTAAAGCACGATTTAGCCAGAGGAAAAAACCACTCCCTGCTGTCTCGAGCTCCTGTTCCGCGCTGCTGGGGGCTACCGCCCGGTTCAGGAATGATGATGTCATCATTCCCCCGGTGCACTTGAGCCTGACGCGGGGCGCAGCGCCACCTGGGGGCAGACCGCGGCCAGGTTCCCCGCTGCTCCGCCGGCTGCGCTGGGGAGCGGGGAGGAGAAGATGGGCGGGTGGGCTGTCTAGGGAGGGGACGCCGCCCCGCGGCCTTGACGGGGCAGAGAAGGGCGCTGGAACCGAGCAGACACATGCACTCGGGGGCCTGCCGAGCTGCGGAAAAGGGGCCCGAACTCGCGGCGGCCGGGTTTCTGCCGGGCATGCAGCTGCCGCCGCCCACCTCCCGCACCCGCGGTGGCAGGCACCCGTCTGTCCGCCTTCCCTTCCTAAAGCCCGGGGCTTGGAGGGAGAGAGGGGTGCTGGAAAGGATCTGTCCTCGTCCAGCACCCGTATTTTATAGGGAAGAAAATGAGGTTCGAAGAAAGCAAGTAACTTGTCCAAGTTGATGAGTCTGAACTTGGCCCCGGTCACCTACCTCCCGGTTCATTCTACAGACTTGGGCGAAGCAAGGTCTGCCCTCCCCAGCCTCTGCCTGCAGAGCCCGCTGACTTACCCTCCGCCTCCCCCCCCACCACTTCCCAAGGGATCGCATTTCCCGTCTGCCGCCCTGCACGGGCGGCTTCACCTCCGGCTCTCTGCCCTCAGCCCAGCTGTTGCCCCAGGCTTCTGGCCTCCTGGCCCTGGCCCCGGCCCTGCAGAAGTGCTTTCGCTCCACCTTGGCCCTGGGGGGAGCCCTGGCGCTGGCTGTGGGCAGGATGGTGGGCACCAGGGGCTGCTGAAGCCCTTGTCCCAGTTGCTGTTTAGAAACAAGACCTGCAGGTGAGCAAGGGGCTCCAGGCCCAGGGCACTGAGTCCGGATGTCAGCCACTCACGGGCCACCCTTTAAGAAATAGGAGATCTGGCCGGGGGTCACCCTTGAGCATGCTTCTCGGCCACCAAGTCTGGACTGCCATGCACTGCCCCTGCCCCAGCATGCATGCTCAGGCTGACCTCTGAAGTTGGCCTCAGGGGCCTGAGCCTCTGCGCTGGCTGTGGTGTTGGGCCAGGCTGCTGGCCTGGGAGTGGCCCAGAGTGTGTGGCCCCCATAAGCCCCTGACCCCAGCACCTTCTGCTCGTCCTGCTCTACTGCTCTAGCTGTAGGTGGCCTCTGCACCTTCTCCCTGTCTCTGTTCCCTCCTTCCTTTATCTAACCCCCCCCAGGTCCCTTTGTCACCCCTTTCTTGCTAACTTTCTCCCCTTGCCACTGATCCCTCCCTAGCTCTCTCCCTGCACCGACCTCTTCCAGCCTCCTTTGAGCTCCCTCTGCTTTCCCCCACCCTGCCTGGCAAGATTCCTGCCCCAAGAATGCAGTCCACTTGTTTCTGTGTCAAAATGTCCCTTCTCCATCTGCGCAGGACCCTACTGACACTCCCAAGGCCTCCCAATCCCTGAGGGCTGCCCCTCCCACCCCATCCCTGCCTGCCCTCTTAGGGTGCCTGACTGGTCTTTGGGGTGCTACTTAAGGAGCAAGGTGACCGGGAGGGGCACCTACAGCTTTGTGCTCCCCCTGGCCTTGCTGGGCACCCCTTGCTCCCCTGAAGATGAGCCAGACAAGAGGGGTGAGAGGAGACTGTCGTGCTTTGGGAGAGCTGTAGGAACTCCTGCGTATGTGAAAGGCCCCGCTCAGTCATGGTTTCCCCCTCTTTCTTAGAATTCTCTTATTTTCAGTGCTTTGCAGAGTTAATTGATTGGAAATGGGGCAATCCCCCCTTCCACCATCAGCTGTGGCCGAGGTAAACCTGCTTCCTGCCCTAGTCTACAAAGCAGTTTGTCACCGGCCGCAGGTTGTTGATTCAAGGATAATTAATTCTGCCTGGGCCGGCTTTGCGTACATTTACACATCATTTCTCGGGGACACTCAGAAACCTCAGCCTGCAAATCCCCTCCTCCTCCCAGCTTCAGGAGAGAGAGGAGACTGGACCCCAAACCTTAGACGACCTGGAGACCCTCTCTCCTAAAGTGTGAAGCCAGGACACTCCGTGGCCCCAGCTCCCACCTCTTGTCTCCACCGTCAAAGAGAAAGCAGATCCGCAGCTGTGGCCTCAGCCCTGTCCCCACCAGCAGCGGCGGTCCCTCCTGTCCGGGTCAGATCCAGGGGCAGGCTTGTGGGCCCCTGCGGATTTCACTGAGAAGGGAAACTGTGAACCCGGGGGCAGAGCTCTGCCCAAGGGAGATTCTGACCCTGGCCCCAAAGCTCTGGCCCAGGAGCTCCTGCCTTCCAGGCTGTGTGACAAGAGATAATCCCACAGATTATGTGGGTGGCAGAGGGCCCTGGGGACATGGTGAGCACAATGGCCATACCAGAACCCAGCTGCGCTGCAGGAGCCCAGAGGCCTGAGGAAGAGAAAGCTGCAGGGGCAGGGCAGGAGAGCAGGGCCTGAGGCTGCAGGGGGCTGGAGTCCCCAGAAGGTGAGAGAAGGAGGGGCCGGGCTGGGGCATGCTGGGAGAAGAGGCTTGGGGGAAGGAGGAGACTCTTGGATGGTGGGGCTTTGCCAAGCTCAGTGGACACTTTTCCCACTTGAATTAAAACTGTAAAACTTCCTTCCCTGGATCTGTCACCAGACAAGTCCTGAGAGCACAAGGGCCATGACTCCAGGGAGCAAGAAAAGGAAAACGGTCAGGCAGCTCCAGGGGTGGGGGCACCCGCTGCCCCTTCCCAAGAGCCCCTTCTAAGCAGTATTTGTGGGAGCAGGGGAGATAGGTCGTAGCCGTCACGGCCTAGCTCAGTGGGGGCACAGATGTGGGCCTGGGACTGATGACCAAGCAACTGACAGAAGCACCTTGCCCCAGTCTCTGGGGTGGCCCGGTCTCTCCACTTGGCTCCTAGGCTGGCAGGCCTTCAGAAACACACCCAAGGTCAGAGAGTGCGGGACCCAAATTTGAATCTAAGGGTGCCCGACTGGGAGAGCAGTTGGTGGGGCTTCAGGTGTCAGAGGCCTGACCCCTAGCAGGGAATCTCTAATGCAAGTGAGCACCCTCTGAAGCTGTGGGAAAACTCACCTCGCTGGTTTTGGGAACCAGCCCGGTTCTGCCTGTGGAGGGGGGTGGGGGTGTGCAGCTCTGGCCTGGCGCTGGCCCTCCCCTGCTTTTCAGAACATGGATTGGGCAGCAGTCTGGGCCCAGCTGAAGGCAGCGCTGCTGGAAGGTGTGGATGAGTCCAATGACACAGCTGACATGAGTTACATCTTTACAGCTTTAATCCAGCGGGCCAGAACCCTGGCCAGTGGGGCGGTCAGAGAGGAGGGCAACCGCCAGCTGCTGCTAAAGCCTCCTCCCTGCCCCCACCCCAGCCCACAGTGGGCAAACAGGAGGGCCCCAGCCTTCTGGGCTGGAATCCTAGGAGCAGAGGGACGATTTGAAAGCAGGGGCTGTGACCCGGGCTATCACCTCCCTCCCTTGTCCTCAGTAAAATTAGCCCACCAACCCCAAACCCTCCCCCCGACCCCTCACTCATGGCCTAGTTCCAGCTTGGCTCCTGTTCCACTTCCTGGGGCTCTGTCCCAGTAGGGCCCAGTATTTGGCTTGGTCTGGGGCCTGGTGACTAGAGGGCCCCTGCCCACCCCCGGGGCCAGATGCAGGGACAGGATGAGGACATCTTCCAAGGTTGGCATCACTGAAGGGGCAGCAGAGACACGGCTGGTTCCTCAGGCTGCTGGGTAAGAGGGCTGTGGTGGCACATAGGGAGGAGGAGCTGGAAGCCAAGGAGACAGGGTGAGGGTCAGTCAGCTGTGGCATGGGAGGGCACGAAGCACACTTCCGTCCCCGGGGTACATGGGGCCACGGGGAAGAGCTGGCCTGGAGGCTGCCAGCTGGAGGAGGAGGAGGTCTGGAAGGGGAATCTGGGAGTGGGGGGCGCAGGGGAGGCCCTAGAGCAAGGGGTCGGGCAGGGCGCAGTGGGAGGGCTCCAGGCTGCTCACTCACCTGCAGGGTTGTAGATCGGGGGCCCGGCGGGGTACATTGGGTACTGTGGAGCAGGACCGCTAGGGGGGTACATGAAGCCAGGCTGTGGGGGTGCAGAGCCAGCTTTGGGGTCCTGGGGGTATGGGTATACTGGCTGTACTGGGATCCCTGTCATTGGAATCTCCTGGCCTAGATGGGGGAATAAAGATTAGCATTCAGAGATCCACCTCCCTTAGAAAACCTTCTCCTGCCCGGGAAACCAAGGCAAGCAGCGCACCCTGGGGCGGCCCTCTGGCAGGCTCCAGGCTGGCCACCTGCGGCCTCCGAGACTCAGCCTGGCAGACTGAGCAGGGGGCTGTGCACAGGGCCCAGCCGGTCAATCTGTGTTTAGCAAGTTTGCTCCCCTCAGCAGGTTTCAGAGACCTCATGAGTCAGGGAGCACAGCCCAAGGAATGTTCGTCCCACTTGGGCAAGGAGGGGAGAGTTCCAGGGCTGGTGTCCTGTCATCTGGCAGAGCTGCCACCCAGGGGGTCCTCTCCTAGCTCTTCCCTCCCACACTGATCTCCCATGTGGCATTGCTGTCCCCATGCCCATCAGGTTTGGGGATAGGCGCAGTCACATGGCAACACTCGGGCACACCAGTCCACGTTCACCACTACAGAGCCACCCCGTGCGCTTACTGAGCGTGGCGTGTGCGTGCACATACCCACTGCACACTCAACGTGGATAGGCCGCACTTCCGTGCACGTCTGAATATTCATGAGCGTGAACATACACGTACGCACAGCCTGATTCTCCCACATACCCTGGGCACATCCTAATATTCATGGGCTTACAAGCTTTTTCTGGGTTCTCAGGCCGGCAGGAGTGTGTGTACAGAGGTGTATACACACTACTCCAGACACACCAGTCCCGGAACTCTCTGGTGCCCATTACGGGACTCGGCCTACTTTGTCTTGGGCCCATCTTGCCCAATACCACGTGTACCTTCAAATGGACTCTGGAGCTGCTGGCGCCGGCGGTACAGGTAGCAACAGGAGCAGAGGAAGCAGCAGATGGTGGTGGCAACCACAGCAACAAAGAGGATCACAGCCGAGGCGATGCCTGCGATGGTCTTGGGACTTTAGACAAAGAACAGGTCCTCTCACCTGCCAGCACTCACAGGGGGTCCTCATCATGCTGGCTCTACCGCCTGGCCAGCAGGGGGGCCGCAGCAAGCCGAGGTTTGGGGTTCCTTGTGGGGCTCTGCCCAGTCCCTGTGGAGGAGATCTCAGGGGACCTCCACTTCCAAGAGGCTCTGCTGCCTGGCCGGCCAGTGCGAGGCATGCTGGGATTTGTAGTGCCCCTGCGCTGCTTCCACGTCTCAGCTCAACTCATTGGACTTACAATACGCTAACAATGAAAGGACCCTTGGCAACAATCTAAAGCCACTGTTTGAAACCTTACTTTAATCACAAGTCTCTTTATATCTGTTTTATGTATTAGCGATCCCCTTCAAAAAAAAAAAAAGGTTGAGAATCATTAATTCTGGCAACCTGCTCATTTTATGAAGAGGAAACAGTGACCCATAGAGGGGCAGTGTCTTCCCCAAGATCACGCAGCTAGCAAGAAGGGGACTCCGGAGTCAAGCCCCAGCGTCTGCCTTGGTGCCAGATCTTCTTCCACGAAGCTACACTGCAGGCCGGGTGTTAGCCCTGCACCCTCCCTCCCCAAGACCTGAGGGACCAAGGGGAGGGCTCCAGAAAGAACCGGGAAACACCTAGGCCAGCCCAAGCCCGTGAAGGAACTAACACGCCTGTTCTGGAGCTCCCAGGCACCAGCATGACCACTAGCTCTGTCACCAGGTGGAGTGACTCGATGCCGCTAGGGATGTGGAGGTGGACCTGGAGAGGAGGCAGGAGCTGGGGAGGGAGGCAGGGGAGGCTGTTGAGAGGAGGATGGAGAGGGGTGCGGTGCGTAGGCAGGAGCCCACCTGAAGGCCAGGCAGTGCTTCTGCTGCCGCTCGGTGATGAGCAGGCTCAGGTCCCTGCAGCAGTACCGGTGGTAGCAGGTCCCGCAGCAGAAGGTGAAGAACTCGCAGTTAAAGCCCGGATGCCAGGAGCCATTCCGGTCCAGGTACCACAGGCAGTCCTCGCCGGCCAGCGCTGTGGGCGGGAGCGGGGGTGCCCGGTGGCCACACTCAGCCCCACTCCCCGGTGGTCTCCAGCCCATGGCTCCCGGAATCTGAGCCTGCCCCTTGTCTCCACCCTGGGAGTCTCGGTTCCTGAGCCCCGGAGGCTTCTCCCTGGGGCCGACCCCGCGGCCCGGGGTCAGCTTCCCGGGGTGGCCCGGCCTCCCGCTCTCCGTCCTCCCGCTCCTGCGGACCCCGCGGCGGCGAGGGCATGCGGCGCCGGGCGCCCCGGGCTCGGGCCGGCCCTCCCTTTCCTCCGCCCCCGCCCCGCCGCCGCCCGGCTCCGCATCCCCTTACCCAAGGGAGCCCCCAGCACCAACAGGGCGACGGCGGCGAGCGGCGCGGCCTCGCGGAAGCCCGCGGAGGGCATGGCGGGGCTGGGTCGGCCGGGCGGCCGCCGGGAGAGGGCCCGCAGCACGAAGCCGGCCGGCGGGAGCTGCGGCGGGGCCCAGCCAGCGGCCGGGCTCGGGCACCTCTCCCGCCTCCTTCGGGGGCGGGACTAAGCGCCCCACCCGCAGAAACCCGGCCCGCGCCGCCCAGGGGCCACCCACCAGCGACGCCCACCCAGCGCTCGCTCCGGGGCTGGGCGCCCCTCACCCCGCGGAACACTGCCCCGCTTCCCCTGTCCCCGGCTCCACGGTGGCTCCTCCGGTCAGAGCCACCGTGGGCACAGCAGGCAGCTGGGCACTGAGGCCGGGGAGGCCTGGCTGGGCCCTGGGCCCGCCCCCGGCCTAGGCCCAATCACTGTGTCTGATCTCGGAAGCCCTGATCCTGGTGCCACCTCCGAATGCCCAGACACGCGGGCCAACCCTGGAGGGGCAGGGCCGGACCATCCCCTATGCGGGGACCTCTTCTGCCCTCGTGTCCAGCCTGGGACATCCTGTGGGGGGGCGATGGCGAGGGAAAGAGGCTAGGAGTTGCCCCGCCCCCATTCCCAGAACACAGGCACCCATTGAGAGGCAGTTTCAGAGCTGCTTTGTCCCCAGCGGTGCCCACAGGCCTGGACCCTGCCAGCTGCACTGGCTCCCTAAGATGGCCCCTTCCCCCTCCAAGTGGCCAGCGCTGACATGCACCAGCCCATGGCCTCAGCAGCAGGGTGGGAGGCCTCTGGGCCATCTGGGACCCATCCAGTAAGACACTCTGCACAGTGAAAACCCTTCTCTTCACAGAGCGCGCCCAGGAAACCAAGGCAAGCACCGCACCCGGGGCGGCCCTCTGGCAGGCTCCGATACCTTTCTGCACCAGCCAGAAGCATATTGAGGAGGCAGCAGTTAACTCAGGTGGAGACAGTGCTTTAGGGTGGGGGCAGTCAATCAATCCCCTTAGAGATTTATGCTGACTGCCAGCGACTGTGCCCCAGGAACTGCAGATCAAGCCAGAGAGAACATCAAAAGCCTACCTTAATCCCCTGCCCTGTACCGCCTTGTACAAAGCACTTCCGCACTTGGACATCTCCTTCACTGGAATCTTCCCACAGCTCCATGAGCTAAGCCGGGTTGGTAGGTGTTATCATCAATCCCATTTTACAGATAGACTGAGACTCACAGAAGTTAAAGAACTTGCTCAAGGTAATACAGCCAGTAAATGGTAGCGGCAACAGCAGGACCCAACTCTTCCGAATGAGGGTTGAGCCCCATCCCCAGCAGCAGATGGTGCAGACAGTGAGCGTTTCTGGTGTTCTGGGTGAGGGACCCAGGCTTGGTCATGGAAGGCCCAGTAGAATCTAAGTGGGGTAGGGAAGGGCAGCCAAAAGAAGAGCTGTCCCGTCCTGGCCCCATGGGTGCTGGCGCACCCACCCAGGAGAGCTGGACTACAGAGAGGAAGTTGCTGGTAGCCTGATGGGCTGGCAAGACTATGCCGCCGCAGGACACAGTCATGAATGTATAGCAGCAGAGGGACAAGGAGACACGCCTCTCAATCCACCACCCCCTACACAAGTGCGTCCATTGCCATCCGTCTCCGTCCTACACCAGGAGCTCCATGACTGCAGGGACCATGTGGCCGTGTTCACTGTTGTCACCCAGCCCTAGACATAGGTGCTCAGTCGTCGCTGGTAGACCCTCAGATGAAGGGCTGTCTCTCCTGTCTGAGGCTGACTCTCTCGTCTGTACCCGTGCCCCATCTCATCTGTCCCTTCATTATTACTTCTCTGGAGTGTCTTTAGCTTCTCCCTTCTCACCAGCTTCTCTTCCCTAGGAAAATGAAATTCCGTCTTTACTACTAAAAAAAAAACCAAAAAACCAAACCACGTGCTTCCTGAAACCCACCCCTCTCTAGTTACTTTTCTGTTTTTCTTCTTTTTCCTCCAATTAGTCCTCCTCAAAACTTGTACCCCTGGCTGACACTTCCAGCTCACAATAAGACCTAGCTCTGACCAACACCATCAGTGATTCTCTAATTGCCAAAGTCTAGGAAAGCTTTGCAGTCCATGGGATGGGAGGTGATTAGACCTCTTCCTATCAGAGCAGACTGAGCCAGGCCCGGGCATTGCTGCGGCCCGCCTTACCTCCCCAGCAGGCCCCAGAGCCTCCATCCACCCCACCATCTGGCCATGGAGGCTCCTGCCCCGCTTTTGTCTGGCTGGTGGTTTGAGTTGAGCCATTCTGAGATAAGGGAAACTCCCTTCCTTTCCTGATTCCTGCCTCTCTCCGACCAGAGGAAAGGAAGGGAGTTTCCAGAGAGCGCTCTCCTTAGCGGAGCCCTCCTTTTCCTCCCTGCCCAGCTTCTGGCAGCCCAAACTCTGCAGACAGGTAATTACATATTCCTTCCATCCATAGGACCCTGAGTTCTTTCCTCTGTCTGACTTAATCTGCCACACCCTCTCTGGGGAGCCTTGGACACGCTGATTTTCCTTGCAGTCCGCAGCTGGGGAAAGCAAGGCCCGGGAGCACGCGGACCTTGGCCAAGGGCTCACAGCTTAGTTGGGGACTGAAGGACCCCAGGTCTCCTGGCTCCCACTGCCCTAAAATAAACAAACATCTCTCCTAAATCAGAACGTTTTTCCTGGTGTCTAGCTTTAATCTTTCTTATAAATGAAAGGCTGTGTCTCCTGGGTCTGTTCTTTCGGTGGGAGGGACCTGTGGGTGGAAGGTGGTGAAGGACAGTGGGATCGGACTCACTGCTGCCCAGCCACTGGTAAGAGGGAGCACTCTTCCCCGGAGGGATTTCTACCAATGCTTTTGTAGGATTGCCTCTCCCAGAATGCCAGGCTTCAGCCTATATGTAGAGTGCCCAGGACAGGCTGAGCCTCAGGGAAGAGTGGGCATAGCCAGGCAGGCTTGGATGGCGTCCGTGAGTAGGCCCCTGCTCAGGCGTACCCTGAGCTGCGGGAGCGGCAGCAGGCCCGGGCAGCCAGGGCCTGGCCTCAGGAGCGCAGACGAGCCAGTGGGGAGATGGGGAGGGCCAGGTTATCTTTAAATGGCACCTTACTCAGCCTGCGCTCTGCCAGCTGGGCAGGGTGGGGGCAGACAGTGTTATTTTGGGATCCGAGGGTAAGGGAGGAGGCAGGCTCTGTTTATAGCTCTCCCCTGTCTGTCCCTACTCCCTCTCTTAGGAAGAGTTGGGGCCACGGACCTCTCCAGCTGACCCTTTCCATCCTGGGGTCTCTGCTTTCAGCCTAGCTCTGTTAACCAGCCGCACGGATGGGAGTGTTGAATCTGCAGAGGGTATTTCTTGGCAAGACCAGCTCTGCAAGGGCAGGTTTAGGTAGTGAGAATTGCGTATGACTTGGGATTAGACTCATAATAGCTAACATTAATACTCACTATGAGGCAACACTATGAAGTGCTTTGTGTTATATTGACTTTATTTAATCCTCACCATTACTCCGTGAAACAGACACTAATATTATACCTGTTCTGTGGATTAGGAAGTGGAGATACAGACAGTTTAGGTAGCTTGCCCAAAGTCACGAAGTGGGCAAGTGGCAGAGGCAGGGTGCAAACCCAGACAGTTTGGCTCCAGAGCCCGCTCTCTGAACCACTAACTAGATGTGAGTCCTGCTCTGCCACTTACTGGCTCTATAATCTTAAATAAACGACCCAACCCTTCTTGTCTTGGTTTTGCATTTGGAAGCGAACTATGGTTCAGTTCAGCCCACTAGAATCCCCCAGTCAGAGCTGGCGGCGGCGCTCCTGTCCATTCTCTCCCTGTTCCACGGGTAGAGAACTTAAGGTCATGCAACACAGCACAGGCAGCGGTTTCTGGGCTCTTGCTAGCAGCTTCCCTGCGTCAGGGATGAGGCCAGGGAGCTGGTGAGGGATATGAGATCAGGTATGAATTTGAGATCACAAAATCAGGTGTGGAAGAAATACATTTATTTTCTTTTAATCAAAATAGATGAGAATGAGTCTCTATCCTGCTGCCTGGCTTGTCGTTATGGTTTGCTCCGCCTTCTGGGATCACTGAAAGGTCCTGGGGTCCCACACGGTGCAAAACACTGGGGCGGGCCCTCTAGGCCTCGGTCCGCACAAGTTCTGCCCGATACGTTTATAAGCCTGAAAATCTAGCAGTGTTGGTGTGTGGGCCCCAGGCACAGGGACCTTTCCAGGGAGCCTTGGTGACCAGGGTCCAGCATCCCCAGGGACTCCATGCAACCTTTTCTCCAGAAAGTTCTCTCATGTCCAGGTTCTCTGCCAGGATCAGGCAGAGTCCTCACCACCCATAGATAGGCCCCATGGACTTCTTTGTCCCCTACTTGTCTTTTGGGACTACCCCCCTTTCTCTTCCCCTCTTCCTTTAGGACCTTGGGCCTAATCTCGGGCCACTAGAGCTTTCCCCATAGGGTACAGAAGCACGGCCATCCCAAGCAGTCTTGCTTTCCACCCTGCAAAAGCGACTAAGGAAGGAAATGCAGACTTTGGGTTTGTTCTTGCACTATGTGGAGGGAAAAAATCTAGTGAAAGCCAACTAGTACATGAAAAATTTATAATGTCCTGCAGATAACCACGGAAAACTGTTTGGCAGGTGGAAGGCAAGCGCTGGGGCCACCACCTGTTCCTCTCCTGTCCCCCAGGCAGGGCTGCGTGCTACAGTCCCTTCCTCAGAGCTGTCCTCGCAAGCGCTCGCCGAGACCCTAATTTAGCAGCAGAGTCTGTGAAACAGAATTGAGTCACAGTTTAACCCAGTGAGTCAGGGAGACTGCGCCACACATGGCTCCCGTGACAGGTGGGGGTACAGGACGAGAAACTTTCTACCATTTCAGGTTTCCATTAAGTCATCTTTAATTCAAACTGCAATCTTGTGAGGTAGACGCTAGTTTCCCATTTTACAGATGAGGAACAGAGGCTGGGAGGGAACGTCACTTGCCCCAGCCCCTCACGTTCCAGCTACGTAGTCTCGCCGACTCACAACAACACAAGGCCTCCTGGTCAGGCCAGTGCTTCCTCACTGTTTTTCTTCCTGCAGCACATTTGCTACAAAATCACGTATTCCACACGGGGATAACAAACCTACTGTAATTTGCAATTTTAAGAAACCAGCAATAACGCCACCCTTTTCTCACCTACTCAAAAGAAGTAAAAAAAAAACTGGAATGTGAGGGTCCTCATGAGATGGCTAATGTTGGCTTGTACCATCTGTCAGAGAAAGGTAAATCATTCACGAATTTTGGAATTTTATTAACGATTACTTCTGGCTGCTTTGTTACTGGAATCCCGGCAAAGCACGGTGA